CATGGAAGGAAAAAAACTCATATATATTTCTCGGTACGTGAATGTAGATAGGCTAGCAACAAGTACTCCCACGATTTCGTGAGGATAGTCGATACACCGTAGAATTTCTCTCTACTCCAATACTACTCTATTAGGAATCTCTTGAACTCTCGGGTGAGCATTCGAGTTGATCCGCGAATATCACGCGGTATGGACAGCCAAGCCTCAGGCAGACGTGCGGTGGGAGACTGGTCGCGGAGAGTCATTTTGGTTCGAGGTAAATGAGAAGCGGTCTGTTTCCTGGAAGGTTTGACAGGTACTCTCGCGTTCAGGTGGAATCGGATGTCTTCGGGAGCTCTACCGGAAACGATTTTGTGTGCCAGGAGAGCCACGGAGAGATCAGACAGTTGACTGACTTTCAGGAGTTCATGCTCGAAAGATACATATATCTGAGACGTTGTCCCGGCGCTTTCGCTCGGGAATAGCCCGAAGGGCATCGTTCTGGAAAATCTGAACCGTACGAACAGGGTCTTGTAGACCATGAGAAGACCGTCGATAGGAATACCAGAATATTTGAGACGTCGGAGAGCCGCAATAATTGCGTAACATTTGGGTCTAATTGTGAGATCACTCGTGGGTCCCCTCCAGGTGACATTCGAGTGGAGTGTCACGCCCAGACACTCCACAGTGTCCGGTAGAGCGGAACGTGAAGCACTCAGCGATAGTGCGGGGATTAAGCCGGTACACCGACTACTTCGGAGGAGTACCCCGGCGGTTTTATGCGCATTCATCGTCAGGCCGAAGGATTCGAAATTCTGATTGTCGTCAGTATCGGCCAGTGCCCGCCCCAGGTCAGAGTCGCGCTCCATGGACCTGATACGAAATATCAGCGTGGTATCATCAGCGAAAGTGACCACCCTGCAGTTCATCTTCTTGCGGAAACTGAGGGGACAGAATTCATGTATACAATGAACATGAAAGGTCCGGCGACAGAACCCTGGGGAGCTCCCAGATCGAGTTCGAGCCACTCGGATTCGACGTCATCGGCCTGTGCTGGTTTTCGTCGGCTTGTGCTGGTTGTCGTCGGCCCGATAGGTAAGATTTGAACCAACGGCAGGTAAGTGGACAGCAGCCAATCTGCTCGAGCACACTGAAGAATACAGAGGACCGACAGGACTCTGATGCCGCGCCTTGGAAAAATATGAATTTCTTCGACGACGGGCGAGCGGCAGCGAGCAGTCTTGGAATCTGAGTCACTGTGAGGTGATTAAACTCAATTTAGAACGCGTGGAGGCGAGCTTAGGTTGGGGCACCGGGCGCCCGCGCCCTAACCTCGGTAGAGCCTCAACGCTGACTCAATTGGGGTTTCAGCAGAACAACACTCGTGAAGAACCACCTCAAAGAAGGTCATGGCATCGATTTGCCCAACATCGAGTTACCATGTACCGTTGAACTGCTTTCGAAACACCTGACGCTCTCGCAGTCATGGTTCACCAGAGAGCGCTCGAGGCGGAATTGCGCTCAGATCGACAGCGCTCGAATTGAATACGCTGAAATTGGATGCGCTCTATGCGGAGCTGCGCTCAAATTGACTTGCGCTCAAATCGGGGCGAACCGCTCGAGGGAGTCGGGTCGGCCGTGTCGGCTGTGCCCATGACTGGCTCCGTGACAGACAACACACCTAGCCTCGGCCAGTGAAGGTAATCCGACAGCGCCATGTGTTCCATATCCAGGGAATGTGGAGACGATTATTGATCCTTTGTCTTATGCTCTCCAAGAGGTCGAAATCGCGGGATTTACCCCCATGTCTTCATGTTACCTGCTCGTGCAGCGCGTCAGTCGAGGTAGTCAATCTGAGCTCCATCAAAAGCCCACCACGGTGTCTGATGCGACGAGAAATTCCGATTCCGCGGCTCTCCATCATTCATCTGAAATATTGTTTTCCGAATCGATCTCCACATTCGGAATTGCAGGCTGTAAATTCCTTGTAAAGCCGTTTATGATGAAATGAAATTACAACCACAAAACCATTTCGGACTCTCTCGGGATTCATCCTTATTAGAGAGAAGCTTGTTTAGTAGATCAGGATAGTCCTACATTTCTTCAATTGCGTATCTTACAAGTAAACCTCCACTTTTGGTGAATCGCAGAGCTGATCCTGCCTTAGTCCATCTGATTCCTCATCGAAAATTAGGAAAAAAAACGGAGTCTCCCGTGCTGACCGCCACAGGAGCCGGAGCGGCGAACAGGAGAAAGCTTTGACTTCAATATGGGGGTATATGGGGCAAGTTTCGCATTATGAGCCGATAACATCCTGTAAGAGATCCTTTGAATGCATGATTATCCCACGAGCTGGAAAAGCATAGGGGGAGCCCCAAATAACGATGTTCGTCGATCACTTCATCATTTCACTTCGAGTTTATCCTCTATGATCATGACTCATGAAAGAATGACACTATGCTTTTCCAGCATGCGTGATCAAAATGCACGAGGAAAATCTCGTCTAGGATGTTATCGGCTTGAATTGAGAAACTTGCCCCAATAAATCCCATATTGAAATTGAAATTTTCTCCAGTTTGCCGCCCCGGCTTCTGTGGCGGTCAGCACGGGGTACTCCGTTTTTTTTCCAAATTTTTGACGAGGAATCCGATGGTCTTAGTCTGGATCAGCAGCTTTGCGACTCACCAAAAGAGAAGGTTTACTTTTTAGTCAACCGAGAGGAAAGGAAAGTTTGGCCTTCCCTGCCCCGCTGCTCACATGGGAGTCGTCTGGAGCGGCTGTGCTTCTCGGACTCGGTGTGATTCGAGGTATATTTATTTATGCATGTAGTTGCAGGGAACTCTTTCTCGATTCGCTCCAATGAGCAAGCCATTGGGATCGGGCGAGCGACCCGCACCGTCGCGACGTGATGGAACTCGTATTGACTACGGTCACATGGATCAACCCAAATATCGGTGGGTAATTGAATTCTCGTCTTCTTTCTCCTGCGTTTTTTCCCATCCCAAGAAATGTTCCTGTGGACATGCACCCTCTCAATACAAATCGATGAAAGGAAGGAAAGAGACCTGCGTTGTTTTGCGACGATTATGACGATTTATAGGTATGGTATCGAAAAAGTGAAGGCAATCCTGAGTCTGCTACTCACGCAATTCTGATTTGAACTCTGTAATCGATTCTCTATTCTGATGGAATCACATTCAATGGCAAACGGATCCGACATCTGGAGGTAACAAATGCATAAGAGTTTTCTTCGACAGCTCACACGAATCGGGAGAGAAAGCCCTGTGTAACCTTTTACATTCATTCACCAGTTTCCGAATCTACCTCATCCACCTCGATCTGTAGCTCTTATTGCTCTCGTTCCTTGACTGTCAGAACGAGCTCACGCGCAGTCCTTCCCCTCGATTTCTCCTTCGAGCATGGCTCGCTCATGCTGGAGGGTCGAGAGGTGCGCTATCTTTCCGGCGCTGAGCATAGCGTTATCGGAAAGAAGCGATTGCGTTGCGGAAGTTTCTTGTTCACATGTTGACGACGAGTGGCTTCCTCTTTCGGTCCGTGGATTCTATATATTGAAAACCGGCCCCTTGCTGAGCCTAGCGAGCACCCCGAGGCCGGTCGATCACAGCTGGTTCCAACGATGCTACGCGACCTTTGCGAAGATACGGATCCCGTGTGTTCCCTCGACATCGATGGTCGCGCGGCTTCTCTGTATCACTCTATGTATACACAGACTTATTCTTCAAGAGAGCTTTGGCTATTGAGATGGGTGTCGACGATGATTCGATTCAACCCTTACTTCAACTCAACGCATCCATGTTGTCCTCGGCGAATATCTGAATTTGTGCCCTTAGGGTTTCTCTGAGCGACTCGAAGTTTCTACTGATGTTCCAGGCACCGTCAACGCCATCACCAAATCGATGGACACGTTCATCGATCTCTCCTCCAATACTGGCATGGCTACAATCCTTGATGGTACTAGAATGACAAAGTGACCTGCCGAGGAAGCAGACTCCGGCAGTCAAGGATCTCCAGTTTTTCGACGGTATTCTATGAAGGTCGGGGAAGCTTCCCTCGCTGTCTTCAGGTGCATTCGATTCTCGACCTGAGAGAGATTATTTGCTTGTTGCTCTAGATTTCGAGGCCGACGGCAAATGATATGACTTCGATCGCGATTGATCGATGGCCTCCCGACAATGACATGAGAACTGAACGGGGTGGAGCCGCTTCTCCCACTCAGTGGAGTAGTTTTTTTGATAGTGATGATACCGAGATTTCCCTCCGGCCCCCCCGAACCGCGCCGCGGGGATAGTGCATTTGACGAGATCACAAGTCTCTGTCGAGGACATCGTTTTGCCGCGTAAGCTCGCCCACAGAATCGAATGACGAGTCGGTCTCACTTGGAGATCGTAGAGTCCTGTATACAGGACAAGGGAACTGAAGATCGTCGTAATTACTTCAAAGAGCTCAAACAGCCGAATTCCATCGATGCGAGCAGCACCGAGCGATGCGACGACTTGTCTCTGCCTCGCAGTTTAGATTTGCACCGCGTCCAGATCGGGCGACGGATGCTCGGGAATCGGAAAGTGAGCCCCAGCTCGGACCTCGAGTGATTAGATTCTGCTCACACTCATACACAATTGTTGACTGCGCTGGCAGTTCGATTCATCGGGATTGGTGTCGCGGTCGATGCTCATATCCACTGATGCAAACGATTTGTTGGCTCGACCGTAATGTACTGACTTGGTTTAGAATTTAATAGATTCAATGTATCCTAGCGTTTTGCTCCTAGCGTTGATTTGGCAGCTCATGTCGTCCGCATAATTTCGTTTCTGTCGATCTTCGTTCAGTGAATTGCTCCGTCCTATGATGTTAGATCACACGATGTACTCAGTCATCCTCTCTTCGATATCTGACGGCTCGCCTTGTTATGATGCTTTCTTGTTTTCTTCACGCAAGTTTCCCGATGATTGACTCGTTGATTGACTCGCTGGCTGAGCGGGGGATGACGGTGGACGAGCCTCCTAATCAGGAGACATGTCATCGTCGTCGTCGTAATCATCGGTGACGTCGACGTCATCATCCTCATAATCGAAGTCGAAAGAGTTGTCGAATGAATACTCGAACGAGAAATCACTGTCCATTTCGTCTCTCGACGGCATCATGACGTCGTACATTTGCATGACTAGCATATCAGGCTGCAATCGAGGATCGGACGAGATTAGCTTCCTGCGGATGAGGCTCCCGTTGCGAGATTCGATATGTTCCCACGAGTGCAGAAGAATAGTGATCAACGTGGTGGCTTGAAGGGCAAAATGACACTCACTGCGAATTCTTGGAAATGTCCATTAGCGTCGTAACGACGCCTGGTCGTCGGAGGTCCCGCATCCGGCGCCGGTGTCCCGTCCGGTAGGGCGTGCTTGTAGAAACATTTGTTGGCGAACGGACACGTGCCCTTCCCGCGATTGAAATACTTGCAATCCTTCGAGGACAACGCGTTCTTGTAGCCAGTGATTAGAGCGAGCTTGTCGTCGCCACCTTCCACGAAATAGGCCGACGGCGTGACAAAGTCCGATGGGGTTCTACATTCGGGACATCCTCGGGCCGACTGAAAACGGAATATGAGTAGGTACTTGAGCGGACTTCCAGATCGCGCAGCCATTTTATCCGAGAGCTCCTAATCACCTTGACGTCAACGTTTTTCACTTGTCTCCACCGTCGGATACAGGTGAGGCAAAAGACGTGGGAGCAGTTTTCAAGGATCCCAAATCTCCTTGAAAGCTCCGGTTCTTTGTCCAGAACGATGTCCATACAGACTCCGCACTGTAGTTTCGCTGAACGGGCGATCGCTGCCGCCAATTCCGCGTACTGAAAGAATAGGACAAGCGTCGGAATCGTACGTCGAGTAGGTCGGTGATTCGGGAAGACCGCGCACCGCGAAGATATCGACTTGAGAGATGGGACGCGGTTGCCCACGACAGACATCCGTCTACCTTTTCATGAGTTTCCCGACAATTCTTCTGATGTTGAGTGTTCAGCTCAGGGTTGTGTGGATGGAGGATGTATTTGCTACAAATCTCACAGAGATCGCCATGCACCGCTCGGCATCTCTTATCTGGACAAACTCCCGAAATCATATGATATTCACACAATGGGAGGCCTGCCAGGCGGGCTGTTTCCGCGTCTTCCTTCGAAATCGCGCCACGAACTGAGTCCACAAATGACTTGCCCTCAGTACGCACTGAGGATGTGGAGCCTGAGGACACGTCGGAAGTCGTAAGGAATTTTCCGGAGTATTGTGGTAAGTCCATTCTGCATCACCATTGAGGAATGGATCACGGGACTCGAACTCAATTTCCACCTACATGACGGACCAGCGGAATGAGGGTTCTGGTTGACGTCGTTTTTGAATTGTCTTCCTTTGGATATCAGCTCCTTGTTGCCGTTCGAATGCTTGCGTATATGGTCGTAACGACAGCGAGCGCCGTAGCGGCAGCTGCCTTTTTGAAAGTATCTGGAAAAAGCAAAGTCATCATTTTCCGCAAGCTCAGTAGATGCTCCGTGCATGCTCATCGCTAGAGGCCTGCTAGCCCTCCGCGGTCGGATCCGACCTCAAGAATAGATATCGGCGAAACCGGTCACGGCATCCTCCCTAGGGTGATTCATCGCCCGAAGGCTGGCGCTGGACAAGTTCTGTTTATTCCGTTCGCTGTCAGATCGGATCCTCTGCACACGAAACCTCCCAACGATCTCAAGACTCGCAGCTGATCCTCGCCAAGAGCATCGTCGTCACGGCATGGGCCTTCCCCCAGCGCATCCGGCTGAGCAACTACTCGTATAGCGGAAAGTCGACAGAAACCAAGTACATACTGGCGAACTCAGGAAAACCAGAAATGAACGGAATCAACCTATGAGAGGGCGTGAGAACAAGATGCGAGCGGCAGAATTTCGATTGCCCAGCATGTTACTTACCGGCATACATTGTCCACGATCCCCGTCGTTCTGTCGTGGGAAAATCGGCACTGGTCGCCATCTCGGCACGTATTTGAAAGGAAGTATCTAAAAATGGGGAGCTTTCTATTTAGGGAGCATATGCACCAGTAGCTGAAAATACTGCAGAACTAGGTTACGCTAGGATATCGAAGCACCGTTCCCTGGGAAAAATCTCTCTGCCGATTTCCCCGAGAACCGTCGACATCACGTCTGCAGAATGCACGATTGAATCGGGCAGCCGTCTAACGCAAGAGCCGGCAAAACTGAAGAGCATGTTGAGTCTAGTTGTCGACTCAAAAGTTACATGAAGCTTCGGACACGATCCGGCGGAGACCGTACGCGACATCCCCCTCGACAGTCCGCCGAAGAATCGGTCATGTGAAATCAGGAGTAAATTAAACAAAATCAAGTTCGAGATGACAAGCAACACGAATAACGGATAGCTTTCACTTGTGGACCAGGCTTCAATATGGCTCCCCAGCGAGCCGTGTAAACTAGACCGAGCCGTAAGAGAATTACTCGAGCGAAATTCACCTGCACAGGATACTCCGAGTGGAGGCATCAGCCATCCTGAAGATGCCTTTCCCCTTGGTTTCACCAAATCTCCTAATTTCGAGAGGAAAGTGCTTCAAAATGTCGACGTTCGTCGTCTCCTCCCTCGGGTGAAAAATTATGGAGCTTGAGCTGGTACTACGAGATGCGAAAACGACGACGACGAAGCTTAGGCGTGGCGCCGAAATTCGAATCCGCGCCCCATCCCTCGATTGCCAGAGTCTCTCCGGATTGATCTGAGCTCTGGATTCAGTGGATGCAGCCACAGTGAGGAAACCCTTGCCTCGGGTGAGAAGACGCCGAGGATATCTCTCGGGAACTCGAGGAGCTTGAGCATGATCCTCGAGGACGGCTCTGAACGATGCTTCTATGAGTGAGGGACAAGTATTCCTTCCGATCTCCCGAGACCATCGACGAGTGTTTTTCTCGTGGTTCCCCCACTGATATTCGTCCAGGAAGCTCGGAGCGCATGCGTGCAATCCAGAGAACTTCCTCGTAAGAGCGTAGTTAACGACAATGATGTCTCGTCACCCATGCAAATCGAGAATCAGCGAGCGTTCGATGGAGAGCGCCGGTCGATCTCGTGAAAGTTTCGCCGCCTCTGATCAATCTCGGATCGGTCCCGGATTATTGACGAATTATTGACGTCTGAGGACAGAGCTCGAAGATGACGGCCATAGATGGCGATGATGAACACCGACTCAAATTTTTCTTTTCGAATTTTGGCGCCCTCTCGGTTACGCAGTGACGAGCTTCTCTCTCGTTTTAGGCCACCAGTCATATCCCAGCTGTGCTGTCAGTGGGTGGGTCGCAGCTTGACTGATTTCTGCCGTTAGTTGCACGATCTTCGATTCGGAATGGATGAGGAATACGATGCCATCGTTCTCGGCACCGGACTCAAGGTAAATTTTGTCGAAAACCGGAGCTTATCACGTGCGATTCCGACTGGTTCTCATGGACACCAGCATCGTGGCACCTCTTCCACTTCCAATCACCACCCGGCAGCAATCGAAACCTCCACGCGATCGTGCACGCTCGCGGCAGAGACAGGGTCTGCGTGACGGCAAATCAGATTGCACGCAGATTGCGCGCCTCACGAGCGCGGCGTACAAACCCTGGAGCGGTTCAAGCTCGAGGAATAGGGACAGCTCCGCCTGTCGTAAGCCTGCGCCGGTAATTGACGTTACCGACGAACATCCACGAACTGATTGAGGGAGTTTCTTTCCGTGGAGCTCGCCGGAAAGATAAGAGCCTGCTACCATTCGCGAGTCGCGACAGGGTAGGCATTGAAGTGCGATTCAACGGCCAAACCGCGGACTCACGGACGTAGAGCCGATGGGAGACTCGGCCCCGGCATTATGGATGTTTCTGATCGTAAATCATGGTCTGACGACCTGCGATGATTCTCATCCCGGTCGTTGCGGCAATTCCCGTGAGGAGCGCTCGGACGATCTGTACGGCTGGAGGGAACTTTCTCGTGCTCTCATCGCTCAGTCACAAGGAGCGATGCCCTCGGGGTTCGAGAATCTAGAACAACTCCATGAGTTTTCCTGAGCAGCAATCGATCCGACCTGGAAGATCTTACGGCAAACCGTCGCTCAATAAGAGGGAGGATTCAATGCTTGCGAATTTTCGCCATGAAGTCGCGTTCGAGATAATTGTCCATTCCGACCGGCGCATGTGTGAGAGGTTAGGCCTCGTTTGGAACCGGTGGAAGTTCGGATTGAAATGTCCGATGCTGGATGCAACTTTGGGTCAACGTCTGCTCTGACGATGACTCATGGCTTCTGTCGGGCTGCCGCAAGTTACCACCGTGCGCCCAGTGCGTGTTGAGAGAATTCCTTTTCTCTGTATGGAATTTTCTAGCACGACCCGCTGGCGACCTCACGGTCAGGAGGTGGACTACTCCAGATTGCACGTACGGAAATCCAATTCGGAGTAAATCAAATCGCTGACGAGAAAGACTTTGAATTCCAAAGCGGACTTCCACGACGAGAATTTCTTTCCGAGAATCTAGCCGACGGGCGTAGCCGGTCGCCATCTGGATGCCCTTCCGTCGATTATTTCCTCTCTTTCTACCGAATGATGGACTTCGTCCACTTACGCAGCTTGGGCGCGGTCGTGATGCTTCCAACCTCCCTAACGTCGATAGAACCTCGACTGGGAGCATATATTGTGGGAGGCTTTTTCGAGCGGAGGGAATCGTGAGCAGGAACTTCTGATGGTTCCACCGATGGAGATCGAAGACTGTCGTCTCTCCACGGTAACGCCTCCATCTGCGGGACTGGCCGCGGATCTCGAGAAGCTCATCCAGTCTCAAGAGAAAGTCTCGGCACTCATAAATGCCCCCATGCAAATTATTTCCAGGAATGCATCCTGTCCGGATTGCTCTCCGTGTCTGGCAAGAAGGTCCTCCATATGGACCGCAATAAGTATTACGGGGGTGAGTCCGCGTCCATCACTCCCCTCGAGGATTTGTTCGCTAAGTTCAACATGCCCGTCGAAGGTCTGAACCTGGAGGAGTATGGACGCAGCCGCGACTGGAACGTCGATCTCATTCCCAAGTTTCTGATGGCCAACGGCCAACTCGTCAAGCTCCTGATCCATACGGGAGTGACTCGCTACTTGGAGTTCAAGTCATGCGAGGGATCCTACGTCTACAAGGCCGGGAAAATCCACAAGGTGCCGGCCGATGAGAAAGAAGCTTTGGCTTCCGGCCTGATGGGAATGTTCGAGAAACGTCGTTTCCGGAACTTCCTGGTCTACATCCAGGAGTTCAACTTTGACGAAGAAAAGACCTGGAAGGATGTTAATCCCAACATCACCACTTCGCTTCAACTCTACGAGAAGTTCGGTCTCGACAAGGATACCCACGACTTCACTGGACACGCTCTCGCCCTGTTCCGTGATGATCTCTACCTTGCTCAGCCCTGCGGCGAATTGATCCGTCGCGTCAAGCTCTACTCAGACTCGTTGGCCCGTTTCGGTAAATCTCCGTATTTGTACCCACTCTACGGACTCGGTGAACTGCCCCAAGGCTTCGCTCGGCTCTCCGCCATCTACGGCGGAACTTACATGCTGGAAAAGCCCATAGACGAGATCGTACTCGAAAACGGTAATTTTCTGAATTGAAGGAGTGCTCGTCACTTATGTATATGCAAGCATTCGACGTTCGACTGACTGTTCAGATAATCTTCAAGCATTCGAGACAATCTCTTGGAATGGATTTCTTCCATCGAGTCCCCCGAGGGAGAATAACATAATCAGGAAAATTAATTCCCATCGACAGGCAAAGTTGTCGGAGTGAAGAGCGGCGGTGAGACTGCCAAGTGCAAGCAAGTATTCTGCGATCCGACCTACGTTCCGGACCGTGTCGAGAAGACGGGCCAGGTGATTCGATGCATCTGCCTGATGAATCATCCGATCCCGAACACCAGAGATTCTCTTTCCTGCCAGATCATCATTCCTCAGAAGCAAGTCGGCCGCAAGAGCGACATCTATGTTTCAATGGTGTCCTACACTCATCAAGTTGCTTCGAAAAACTGGTTCGTGGCGATGGTCTCGACAACCGTCGAAACCGCGAACCCAGAGGCTGAGATTAAACCCGGTTTGGACCTCCTCGGTCCCATCAAACAGAAGTTCGTCCACATCAGCGACGTCTACAAGCCCAAAGACCTCGGCGAGGAGAGCCAGGTGAGTCCGCGTTTCTCGAGACGAATCCCTCTCCAGGAGCACACTCGCTCATTCACGGAATTCGCTGCCGCGATTCGCGCGGACGCCTGAACTTGTTCTTTTCTGTTCCAGATCTTCGTTTCTCAATCTTATGACGCGACCTCTCACTTCGAGACGACATGCGCGGACGTCGTAGACACCTTCCGACGCGCCACCGGTGAAGATTTCGACTTTTCCAAAGTTCAACACGATAACTGTGAAGTGCTGGAATAGGTTTAGCATTCAGTTGTATCAAAGGGAACCTTATAAAACATGTTTGCTACCGCCATCCCCGCCGCCGCCGAATTCTCGACCGAAAAATGAAACAGTGAACTGGCGGAGGAAGACTCCGGAACGACTATATGAAAATACTGAAAAAGAACAATATACACAGAACTCGATATCAATTCAAACAGTGGAGAAACGCTCCACTTCACGACGCAGCCAAGCGATATGCAGGGGAAAGAAGCAGGGAAGCCGGAAGCAGAAGCCCTGAAAACATTCTCGACACTTACTACAACACTGTCCGTGGACAAGCTGGGCGACGGTATCCCGGTATCATCCATGTTTTGATAATGCCGAAAGCAGCAGCATCGAGGGGAAGCGAATAGCCGTAACATTCACACCCATAAAATAACTCCATGGAAAATTATTGGCTGGATATTTCATTCTATAAATATCAACGCTCGAGAACGACGAGAAGAAATGCGCCTGTGTGATCAATGAACTCTTTCCGATACGGAATAATCTCTGCATCCTCCAAATCAACAGGTCGTCCCTGTTACGTCTTTCTTCTACCCTATGACCGAGCCTCTAATGCTCATCGACGAAAACCCACTGATCAAATACATAGTCCGTTTCCCCCAGGAGAAGATATATGAATTCAATGACAGGTTTGAGTCTACCATTCCCGCCAGCTGCCTATGCGAGCGATGATCCCCCAGTACAGAGCATCTCTCTTCGATTCGATCGTAGGAGCGGGCGTCGGTCGCGCAAACCCCCCGTTCGAATGGGTGCTCGCCGACGAGCCCTCGTCGGTGTATGAGCCGCGATGTTGAAGAATCGATTCGTTCGTTGTCAACATGGCACCCCGACCAAAGTCACTTGGTACTTGAAAATTTACGTACATGAATTATACGAGCAAGCGGCGTCGATGCAGGCTCGAACAGGCAGAGGTTCCGCCGGCGTTGAGCGTAGGTAGTTTCATCGATATGAGCGATTGGAACGTTTCTTGAAGTGCTCACGTTTCGACCGGCATGGGAGCGCGCACCGACGTATGCGCTCAATGCTCGAGGAGTACGACGAAAAATTCTGAACCTATATTTGTGTTTCGACACTGCCTGAGAGAGAAACGGTTGACCCGTCATAGCTCGAGGGATGGAGCCTTAGCGAAGAGCTCTGTAGGGCGACGGGTTCTCTGAGTGACACTGAAAGCAGCAACGACACGGAGCTAAGGCATCGACGATGTGATGATTAAATCGAGTGGGTTCCTCAAGTTGGTGATCAGGCCGAGGGGATGAGGAAACCACGGAATGAATTTGATTCCGATGGAATTATTCAGAGACTTCGCAAGCAATCCGCCGATCGGAGCTCCCGATGAGGCATTTGTTGCGGATCCTTCGGAAAAACTATCCCGTCGCCTACGACTGACAGTCTCGCGTTTCGAGCTCCAATATGAAGCCGCTAATTCGTCTTCACGGAGGGGCGCGGTTCCCGTACCGATATCGAAATCCATTCTGTCGTGAAAGGATTAGAGGCTCATTCTGTTTTTTCTTTCGCGGGGCTTGCAGTCAAAGCCTGGCATCGTATGACTAACCTTGTAGACTGAAATCTGTGCCGTGACTGGTAATGATTATTATTATACGTCTGATTATGAGTTTCGTGTAAATAAACTCTTACTGATTGGGTTCGGTGAAAGTGTTTTCCGCGTTTTCGCTGCAACCGGCGGATCAGGGTGGCGCCGGGACCCGACGCGACGAGACCTGAGCTGTCTCTCCTTCTCAGTGAGAAGACATCCGTCCTTCTTACAAACGCGTCATACGCGGATAAGCGTTCCAGGGAACACCATGGTATAGTGGGGATAGTTTCCTCGACCCCCGAAGACGTTGACGTCAGAAAAATCCCCATGAGAGCGCCCGGGAGTGTCTTCAAAAGATCCCGATCTCGGAAACTTCGATCGGGCATTCATTCGGGACGATCTCGGTGGATTTGGCAGGAGAGGGAACTCGGATTGCAGTGTGGGAAGCTCCCGATCGAGGCGCGAGAATTTAGAAGTTCGCTACGTGGGAGGGAACGGAAGAGCGGCAGATCTCTCGGATAACCGATTTTTCGGTGCTCTCCCGGCGGAAGAAGACTCACGGTGGACTCGCGGTCTACGTATGTTTCACTGATCACAGCAGGGCTCGTCTTCCTCCCATGTCGAGCGTGAACAGACTAAGACTCCCGGCCGGACGAAGGGGCCTGCCTCGATGCTCCTCTCTCTGGACAACCTTCATCGTCGAATCTCGCAGACCTCAACATCATCAAGAAATTCTAAGGATCTTTCTTCATCGACCGGCGCCGTGACTCGGTCCTCTTCCGATCTCGCGAAATATCGATCTCAGCCGTAGAGCTGAAACTGCTAGGTCTAACGAACCCGGGTCGTGTAACGGCCGAGAAGGATTCGGCCTGGGGAGTCGCTGCGATCTCGTGTTACCGATGGAGACAGCCTCAAAATCAGCCGTAAGATTGGTATCGAGTGTCGGGACATCATTATTCTCTTTTGGCATCGCGCGCTGTAGAGTGCGTATTTCGGCTGACGGAAGAGCAAGAACATTAACGCGGCCAACTCTACATTGGCGATAGTGATGTGATAAGCGTCGACCTTCTCGCAGCAAACCGATTGCAGGGTAGAGGGTCCGATGGTCCCGTACCTGGATAAGCAAATCGCGGGAGGAAAAGAAGAGATCACGCAGGAAACATCCTCAGCTCGTGGAAGATGAATAATTGTCAGATTTATCCTCTTCCCTCCCCTTTCCTCGCCTGCCTCACGCACATGGTCTCAAGGCTGGGGATCTTTCACGGCGTTTTTTCCGAAAATCCACGTAATTTTTTCGGCCCCGACAGACTCCCCTTGAAGATTTGCCTGAACATGCCGTGAATAATCTGAACTTTTGGCGCGGCCGCGCCGAATTCTCAGGCGTACACATATTAATCCGCATCTAGGAGGTGGGATAGAGAGGTTTGTGATGATTTGATTATATCAATCACTGACCATGAAGAGAGTCTGTGGCCGAGAGCTCCCCCCCCTGCTCGGAAGCGGAAGCATTTCCCGCAAGGAGCCCTCAGAAACTTTCGGAGACGGACTACGCAAAGCTTTCACAACTACGCAAATCCGAGTCTTCGGAGAGAACAATTCAAGAGATTGTAGGTAGTCGACTCATGAATTGCCCCGAAGATCGACCCGAAGATGACCGCTCGCCTGAGCTGTGATTTAATCCGTGATCAGCTGATCAGTGAGGGGAGATACGCTCATATGTAGCAGTCAGATCCAGGGATCGGCAGATCCAGGGGAATGATGTTCCCCTGTCTTCGTGCCGATGGCCTTCTTCGCAAGTCGTACATGGGTCAGGGGTCAGGAATTCACGGGGACCCGCTCCTGGGCTGTCGATCAGACCTCCGCATCCGAGGCTCCGAGAAACAATTGAATCAGCGAATCATGTATCATACTCTCCGGACTGGGATAATTCGCTTCCGGAGGGCTTCGACGGGGACGTCAAAAGTATCCGCAGGCCCATGCCCGGCTCAGGCGGTTCAGGTCACGTATGATTTGAAAGTTTGCTGGAGCAACATGATTCAAAGTTGTCTTATGCAACATGTTTGGTACGTAATTTGCTCGAAGTTCGGGGTAGCTTCCCGTGTGTTCCCCGGTAGCCTGAGTGAGCTCAGAATTAATTCCTGAAAGAACTCGACGCAATCATTCTGCTCCAGTGGTCAGGGCGAGCAGAGTTAGGCCGAAGTTTGTTCATCGACTGAGCGAGCGAGGGAACCTACCCTTTAGTCTTAGCTGGCTTAAATCGTAAACTCCATATTTCAAAGCTTCCCACCGTCCGTCGGTCCGTTGGTCGGCTGGTCGCTCGCTGGTTCGCTCTTTGGGTACGGAGAGCGAGGCCTCATTATCTCGAACGTGCAGCTGCCACGGTGGTCCGGAAAATCAAACAAGTAAGGAATAAGTAGTGGTGGGGTTGAGAATCTGCTTATTGAATTCCCGCACGAGCGAAAGTAGCGCTCCTCGGCCGATGTTTCGAAATGGAATTTATTCGCTCATCGCGAATTCCCCCTCCTCGAGCCTCAAATACGAATGTCAGCGAGTTTCGGACAGATGGTTCTCCGACCCGCGGAGGGCTGATATACATCTCGAGCTCCTGTGTTTTCTTCCAGCGGGAGACGCTAAAATCGGCACCTGAGCTCTGTCATGAGTATGGCCATCTCCTCATCCGCTCCGGACGAGGGAGGCATCGGGAACGAGGCGATTCCGTCTCCTGAGCCGTGAGCATCGGGAGAAGGGGAGGCTCGAACTCGTCGTTTCTATTGCTGATGCAGCAGATTCCGCTAATTTCCAGTTAGCGTGCCTGCTCGGCATCGACGGGTGCACTGTATTCATCAGGATATAGACTAATCAGTATGCGTTTTTCGTTCAGTATTCACCATGGGATCCGCGCGACCTGCTTCTTTTATGACAAGTTTTCCTGCAAAGGCTATACCACGCAGCCTGTCGGTTCCCATCGCGTGTGTGATCTTCTTGGCTGCTCGGTGCTCCTTCCGAGGTATCCGCCTAGTTCTCTTGCTGTTTGAACATCCGAAGCGTTCTCTCGGCCTTCTTTTCTCAAAATGAAAAAGAAACCGCAGCGCTCGCGGGTCGTAAAACTCGAGTACCGCTATTCGTTCTCCTCCAACTTCAGAGTTCAACCTTTTAAGTTGAGTTCAATTGCGATTTCCATCGTTTATAACTCTGAGTTTTACATCTGAACCCCGGCGGCGGAGAGCATTCTCTCTGCGCGAGCGAGGCTGCGAAAGTATCTTTTGAGCTCCAAATACAGTTTTACCCAAACGCTGCTTTCAGCGTCGGAAGGCATAAATCTTCAGACAGTGCGTGAAAAGATTCGCCGGCTGCTGGGCTGGCAAACCAAGTGATCGATACGAGCTATCTCGAACGATGGTTCTCTGTGCAACAACACGGAATCGTGTGCAAGCGACTTAGCGGCCGGTCAGACGGAGCCTATGAGCTGACGGGCGACGACGACGCCGCGGCGGGGGGAACGCCTAAACCAAGAGAGCGGACCGCCATACATCATGGTATGCCTCCTGGCCGGTAATGGAAATAGCTCATGTAACGGTTCCGAACAGTGGCCGTATGGTTGATGATATTTTTGTGGCCTGAGTACATCTCGTACTGTGGTGAGGCTCCTCCTAATCCTCTTTGGGCTCCATTTCCCCATGTGCCAAGAGAACACTTGAGTTCCTTCGACTCGGCGTCGCTCTTCTCACCATCTGGAGGTGGGGAATACTTTTCATCGGTTCCGGTACGTTAGGAGTGTTTCGACGTATCACGGGTGCCCTCTCCTCGCTCGGGAGAATCCCGTCTCAGGGACAATGGCTTATCGATTTCTGACCTCTTCACTCCATCCGACCGTGGAACTCTGAGCGTACAACTCGCTGCATTTTTTC